GGATGGTCGGGATCCTGAGGAGCTATAAAAAAGAACCTCGTCTTCCACCCCTTGAGAGAGATCGACATCTTAGGAATTCTAAATCTACCCTGGGTCGATAAATACACAAAAGAGTTGAAACTTGGAAGAAACTTAAACTCGAAGACCATTCTTAAAAGGTCGAACCTCGGGTTTATCACAAGTACCCGGCAAGCTATAAAAAAATAGGTTATTATCCTCCACCCGTTCGGTACGAGTTGCCCAGGGCACATATTATGCTCGACCAAGAACTCCACAAAAAATAGGTGAAGGGGCTACCTCATTCCCCTTTAAGGGCATATTTGAAAATGATTCTCCCATTCCCGTGCACTCGTAACCCTATCCTCGGGTCTTGGGGGCCCTAATGTTACACAAAGGCATCAAGCCATACTCCCTCCTGATCTTGACAACCTCGTGCTCTTTATACCTACATCGGAGGTCGAGGACATTAACGACCGACATATTATCTAAGGGGATGGCCATTGGTACTATAGAATGCCCTACATCGTCGGAGGACGGGCTAGACCCCGAGGAACCCTTACTAGACATTTCTTAGGAAAGAAAGCTTAGAAGCTTAAATTATCTAAAAGTCACGAGGTCTTACCTTAAGACTAAACCCGAAGATGTTAGACGATGGTTGAGAGAGTGAAAAGTGAAATGATGTAGGGTAGGAGGGTATTTATATGAGGATGAAGAAGTCAAAAGGTCTCCTAATCTCGACTATGACACGTGGCCACCATTCAACAAAAGTGGCTTTTAGCTCAAATATTGAGGCCACTTGGCAGCCTCCCATTTTTTAACCCATATTTATTCCGAACTTAACCAAAGGCTGATCATGCCTTTTCACAAGGCTGATCATGCATTTCCACAAGTCTGATTGTGCATTCTTCACAAGGCTAATCATGTTTTTCCATGGTCTGATTGTGCTTTTTCACAATGCTGATCATGCCTTTTCACAAGGCTGACCATGCATGTCCATGGGCTGATCATGCCTTTTCACAAGGCTGATCATTCATTCTCCATAGATTGATCATGTCATTCCATAGGCTGACTATGCCTTTTCAAAGGTTGGACAGCCTCATCCCAGAGATTATCAGATATGATTCCGAGGTTTCACGCTCATGTTATTATTACCATGTGCATCACATCCTAGAATCTCGAGCATGAGGCTCCGGCAATGATGCACGGTGGCCAGTGATGATCTCAATATTGGTTTAGTCCGAGGACGGGGCCCTAGGATAATTTTCCCAAACTTGTGTCGCAGTGTTGTTTCTTCCTCGAGCATGACTCCTCGGCCACTGTGCTTTCCTCGAAATCATAATTAAACCTCATACCGTGCAGTTCTCGACTCACTAAGACTCTCCCCCGTATCAAGACTTATCCAAACCTAAAAGAAATAGAGTCCTACTGTTATTATGTTACCTTATCCGGGAAGGATTCTATCATCGAAATTCCACTTCTATCCAAACACGTAGGTAATACAAAATCAATTAAGTTGCAACTTTCAATCACGATAGAACTCCTAGGTATTTCAACATTGCAATCATACTAGGAATGTACTACCTACCTCTATAAATACTTCATTCCAATTCATTGTTAATGTACATTTTTACATAATTTTTCTGCACGTATCTTTTCACAAATTCTCTTTCTAAATTAAGTATCGAATGAGCGACGAAGACACTCCTCGTCGTCTTTGTTTCAGGTACCGAAAGATCTCGTACGTGCTCATTCTCAGTCGTCAAGCTCAGAAGTCAATAGGTATTATTTTTGGTAGCATCATAATTCATCCACCAAGAAAAGAAATAAGAAATGTACAAAGGTTCATTACATCATTTTACTCAAACAAACGAGAAATTTACAATAGTACAATGTTAACTAGAATTAAACAAAACAAAACAAAAAAAAGACCACCAAAGAGCCCTTCCCAATAAATTTACACAGGTCACATTGATCATTCTTGGTCACTCAATTTAATTCATGAATTCTGTTCGATTATTCTAAGATGACTGGAGATAGGGCAGTATATGATCCGGCTCCCTTATCCACCCCCTTGCCTTATTAACTCTCTGAACTCCTCATCAGTGCTCTTCAACATCAATGGCAAACTGACCTCAATTCCACACTGTACAACCTCCATATGCCGAGGTTTTATACGCTTCTCCAGACTGAATGCAAAATACTGCGGAAATTCCTTCAGTTCCTCCAATTCACCCTTCATCTCATTGTCAAAATATTCAAATTTAGGCTTGAAATTGTTCTCTATGCTGAAAGTGAACAATCCAGGACACCTTAAAACCATTCCGACAGCATCATCTTTCGAAAATCCTAAGGAAACTAAATAATCCAGCTTAGAAATCAACGTCTTCTCCACACTGGAAACTAGCAAAATGGGATCCTGATAAGCCAATGCATACAAATCCTTGAAGCCTAATCTTTGAAGATAGAATAAAGCAGGTTTAAGCTGGTCTCTTACACTGGAAATTAACAGTCTGGGACATTTGTTGATGACCTGTCTAAAATTCTGGTCGGGGACATTCAAATCGTAGGACAGGAAATTGAAAACTGGGTTAAGATCAGTTTTAATGTCCGATGTTAGGATCTGGGGACACATGCCGAAGATTCTGCCTAAGTCCTTTTGATGGATGCCTTTGGACTGGAGGAAGGTGATTATTTGCTGGATGCAATGCAAAGAAGCAGTGTGGAGAGACGGGTTTTGGGAGAGTGCTCGACCGGAGTCGACGCCCATGATTTCGAGGCACAGGATTTTCTCCTTGAATTGAAGGGAGATTTTTGAATGGGTTGGGGTATAGAGTGGGTGTTTTTCCAGCAGTGTTTTGGGTTTAGTTGTTAGAAGATTGGATTGTGATTTAGAACTTGAGTCTCCAGATGGTGGTCTTTGAGCAGAGAAGCTTGGTGAAGAACAAAATGGTGGCGCCGCCGTTGACATGGTTGCTCCACTGCTGTAGAGTGAAGGTTGAAGGGCGAGGGGAGTCTTCTTGCTCAGTGATCATGCTTTTTATCTGGTTCTTGCAAATGACACCTGGCAATTTGGCTTGAATTTATTGGTCAAGACAGGATTTCAATAGATTGGATGAGACTAATCAGACTGTTCCCTTTACAGACAAAATAATTTCCAGAGGACCCTGGCCCGACCCCACATGTATTAAAAAGAAAAAAAAATGTGCGGACCCCACACCATGTGTGTTGTCTGTACAATGCCTGTAAAGAAAATTTGTACACCAAGGGGTTCATAATTTCCGAGGTCAGTGTCCACTGGACAAGACTGTCCGAAACTTATTTAGCCTTCATTTCCCACCGCCCCCTTTTAAATTATGTGGAAATTACACTAAACCAGCTGTTTAGTTTTGACTTTTAAAAAATCAGATTTTTATTTTATTTAATCAACAATCAAATTTTAATTTCACAATTAATATTAATAATAATATTTTTAAATTAAATTAAATATATACTCACCCTACTACCTACCCCACCAACTTTATTTAAATATAAAACACAACCAAAACCTAATTCATTTCATTTCATATCTCCCATCTCTACCGACACCGTCGCCTCCGCCTCCACC